CCTTCTCCTCCCCTCCTCTTCCTCTCTTCTTCCTCCTCTCTTTCCTCCCCCGTCTTCTCCTTTACCTTTGGTTGTTTACTAAGGCTTTACCGCATGTCACTGGTTGTTTACTAAGGCTTTACCTTCTCCTCCCCTCCTCTTCCTCTCTTCTTCCTCCTCTCTTTCCTTCCCAATCATGTCATCCTGTCAGGTTTAGGAGCTTCACTGAGATCACCAGATTTGTTTCCTGACCCTTTTCCCCCTTCTTCTGAGTTAGCATTGGTTGATTTGGATTGGTATGGTCAGGAGTACGTGAGTATGGACTGAAAACGGTGACAATTTTGGCTGCTAGGTTAGAGAGGTATATCTGGCGGACTCAAGACAGCCTGAAAAGAGGTGGCAATTTTGTCTTTTGCATTGTAGAAAGAAAGAACAAAAAGAGCAGCTGCTCAGTGTTAACCTCCCAGTCTCACCGGGGCAGAACAAAAAGAGCAGCTGCTCAGTGTTAACCTCCCAGTCTCAACGGGGCAATCAATGCTGGCAGTCAGATTTAGGCTTCATGGCAACGAAGCTCCAACCTGCCCTAAGGTACACGATCTTTCCCTACCTCTGGGCTTATTGAGTTCCCATTGCTCATCTCTGACTCTTGCCTATTCTTAGGATTAGCATGCCTAATCATGGCATCTTCTCAGTGCCTAAGAATAGGCAAGAGTCAGAAATGAGCAGCCATGAATAGATGATGATCATACAGAAGATGGGTAGGCTTCGCATATTCTGAACGCATATTCTGGCCGCTGTCAGAAATGAGCTCTGGAAACTCGTATCATAGAGCTCACACAGCATTCTTTTTGATCTTTGAGACAAGTTATTCATAAACAAATCAGTACTAATTGCAATCTTCAGCAGTACTAATTGCAATCTTGGGGAGTAGGTAGGGTCTATATACCAGCTGAGTCTCACATGCCATAAGTTTTGGCTCCTCTCCATCCCAGCAATGTGACAGCGGCCTCCTGTGAAAAGGCCTGCGACGCTCAAAACAATATACATCAATTCACACACCATTAGTGCACACATGTACTGCATCGCGACATCACACATACCAGCTCGCTCTCTCTCTCTCTCTCTCTCTCTCTCTCTNCTCTCTCTCTCTCTCTCTCTCTCTCTCTCTCTCTCTCTCTCTCTCTCTCTCTCTCTCTCTCTCTCTCTCTCTCTCTCTTCCATGTGCATGTGTAAGTAGTAGAAGCGCATGTGTGTGTGCACTATCGCGCATGTACAAATTTGCATCGTTCTGTCAGAAACCTAATGACATCTTTCTTTGTCCCCTTCCTCTGTACTTTCCCTCCTTTGTCGTGCAGGAGAGAAGCATGCGTACATTGCGGAGTATTTAATTAAACTTTTTCCTGGAATTCACCTGAAGTCGTACGCGAGGAACTTGTCAATCTCCAAGTCGTAAACAAAGAGTCGCGAATCCAGTTTTTCCATGTCGTCCTCACCTTCAATGCCTGCCAATATACTGACCTGAATGCCAAACACGAGTTCTTTTAACTTGTTAGCCGCCGCATAATCTCCGTCCTTGTTATTATAGTTCTCCTTTCATAAAGTCATTCAGAATCAATCAATAAATAATACGGCGTGGATTTGTATCCACGATTCCACATGGATAAATTGGTCGCATTTATCAGTGATTCAGAATTCATGGTTTTTTAACTTTTTTTTTTCTTCATGAAGTCATCCACACACAATTCATCAGTCTCAGTCACATTAATCTAATTTGTTGAATTTTATTCAGAATTCAATTCAATTAAGCTCGATTAACGGTTTTCGTGCCATGAAGTCATTTGCAATTAATCAGCTGTCAACAGTGTCAAGCGCATTTTTCTGCCATTATTGTGATCTCTCGTCCAAGGGCATCCTCACATTCGCACTTTTTTACTTGTTTCCGGATGCAATTGCGGCCAGGTGCATACAGTTCTGGCCGTAATTGCGGTCTGATGCATTCTGGCAAGTGCTAGTGTGAGTATGCCCTAATTCATGAGCATTCATCATCATGTCCTGCGATTTCTGAACTTCGAACTTGAAACTGTTGCTACCATTGGTTACCAAAAATAGAGCAGGGTGTTGTCAAGTTGTTGTTGTTGTTGCTGTTTTTTTTTTTGTTTTTTTTTGGATCAGATATTAAACTGATCAGAACAGATACTACGCTTTATCTTACTTAGCCAGAAGGCCGAGAAAGGTATTGTCACAATTTGTCAGTATTATTTCAGTCAGTACTGTTTCCAGCCTTGGTTACCAACAGTCAGTGCATGCACGGATTCGAACCCGTGCCCTCAGCCTCGAGAGCCGAGTTTTCTTCGCCACTGCAGCCATGGCAAGGTGTAAAAAAAAAAAGTGGAACCATACCAGTCGTGATATCCTTCCCCCCCCCTCCGTCGCTGTAGTGACCTTACCATACACCACACACACACACCGCACCACACAGGCACGTGTCGCACACTACCGTAACTCGATCAAGCACATGACCTCAAACCACGAGAGGGGCACACAGCTCCCTCCACAATATCCACAACCCGCCCACACCACACCCTGAGATCGCGAGATAACCACACTCTCTGAACAATGGCACGCACAAAGGAACCACCGACCGCTTTGGCCACAGTCGGATGCCACCGGCCGCCCAAAACGTATCAAAAGTGAAGTGCACCGCCTCATCTCTGCATCGAGAAACGCGAGTCAAGAGAGAAACGAATGCACCTCGCATCCAACAGGCTCGGACGGACCGAAAGCCTCCACCTGTGCACGTGGTCGCAAAAGGAACACCCCTTCCCCCCTGGATCCACATGCACCTGTTGCCGTGGGCACCACCAACAGAACTCAACGCAGGCGAAACGCAAGAGACAGAGGACGATAGCCTTCATAGCCCACAACCTAAACACAGCGGAACCGCAACACAACACGATCCGTCACGATGTGCAGCATACCGAGACCACAGCATGGGGGACATGACAGGCACAAGCGCGCATTCCAACAAGTCGGGCAGATGATGGGCCCAAGCTCGTGACGCCGTCGGCGGATGCATCACACATCCCACAAGTCTCCACCCTCGCATATGGTAAGCAGCGGATGCAGGGCCGAGGCCACCTGCCACACTAGGGCGAGGGGGGCGGGGGTTAGCAGACCCCCCACGGCCACCAATCCCTGGTACAATTTCCAGGCTGGTTACCGGGCTTGTGTACAGTGGAGCCTTGGACCTCCTCCATGCATGCATGCACCGATTCGGATGGGCGCACTCAGTCTCAAGAGCCGAGTGTCGTGATCACACTATATTTGAATTTCCGTGTTCGGGTTGGGAGTGAAGTTGTAAATACTAAACCGATCCTGCTTGTTGGGAAGAATAGCTGACAGTGTACAGAATTTTATTTTGTTTTCCCAACTAATATAGTAGCAAATGAAAACTTGAAAAGTCATCAAACTGAAAACAACTTAGAAAATTCCCACTCCGTCCCGATGCCCGTACAAAAGAGACAGAGTTGAAAGACTTCCCAACTCCAAAAAGAAGCTAGGCTCTGACAGAAATTTGCGCAAACCAAAAGCCTGCTGCAGTTTGCATTGCAATGATGCAATCAGCCGCCCGAAGAGGGTACGTTCTTCCCCCGAATACAATGTCCGGTCTTTATAGCTGTATGTGCGGCATCTTTCAGTCTAGATACAGCTATAATGACCGTACCTTGTATTTGGGGGAAGAAGGTAGGGGTGTTATGATTCTGGTTGTACGTTGCCTGAAGGCCAACACTCACTCACATAAACTTCTGCACATGCCCATACACACACAGAAGGAAGGGGAGAGGATAGGAGTATCACACCGCACAGGGAGAGATAAACACAGCGGAAGACTTGTCCATGCGATATGACAGGGTACACTGAAAGTGCAATTCACTCCGTTCAATCCTCACAACCAGTCATAGAGAAAAGCCGAGCAGATCACATCCAGGAAACAATGAAACGATGATAGTCCAAACACAGTTTCACACTGTTTATTAAACTCAGAGTCTCGAAATGTCAGGGTCACTCCAGAACTACAGTGCGCTGCTCAGAATTGAGCAGCGCTTCACTCTTCAACCCTGATTAACCCCCGGAACACCCCCTGAGCCCTGAAACATCAAGCGCTGCCCAAATACAGACTCCTAGGGGCAGCGCCACCCTGAAACAGGCCTCTGAGGCCAAGCGCCACTCAGAGGATGAAGAAGAAGACCAGCGCTACAGTATCTGATGATGACGAAGTGTCGAGAGGCTTCCCGGGTGGAAGCCTGCAGCAGCGCCACCAAACCCTGACAAGATGACCTCTGAGATGAAGAGCTGCAGCTATGGCTGCAGCGCAAACCCTCTGGGACCCCACTCCGGAGGAGGGTCCAGCAGGGCACCAATCTCACTCGCCTCCAGCAGACCTCAATAACCCAGGCCTTTGTCAGCCCCTACGTGCCGGCAGAGTACAGCATAGGTCCCAGCTATGGCCTGTGCTCCGAAGGTCTGGCTATGCCCGTCTCCACTCCATGCTGAGCCGTCACCACTTCCGGTTCACACGTAGCGCAGCAGCGATGTGCACGGTACCAACTGCCAAAAGCCCTAAACCGATGTGCCCATCCTACTTCTAGCCTACACCGACCTAGACCGGACTGACTGACCGACCGGTACCGTATCTGTTTCGGCCTCTCGGCCTCTACCGGACCCGGCTATAGGCTATAGGACCGTCTATACGGATAGGCCCTTAGGGCCTGTCTGTACTACTGGTAGCCCGGGCCTGCTAAACGCAGTTAGGTAGCTGTAGGGAATCCGGTTAGTGCCGGGCCTGTATTTTCCCGGAATTGCAGATATGTCCCTCACGATTTTCCCTCACAGGTAGGTCTCTCGGTTAGCCCTCAGCCAAACAAAATTACGAATCTGCCCTACCTATAGTACAGCCTCGACAGAGAGAGGCTACAGGCACTCAGAAAACAGCAAGTCATTGCAGGGCCGTGATCTGCGGTTCTTGCCAGGACATTTGCCCCGCCAAGGTTGTTAACAAATGCTGAAAAGAACCGTCAACCCCCACCAGTATATGCCCCCATGCAACTTGAGAGAATGAGAGGTTCTCTCTCTCTCTCTGAAAAGTTCGGAGGCTCGAGGCAACTGGACCAAAATGGCTGGTGCTGGCACCCAAAACAAAAACAAAAGCACTGCGCTGGCGTTTCGCCAAAGCTTGGCGCCCAGTGGGAAATCCGCCTCGTACAAAAGAGGCTCGGATGTACTGCTGGTTTACAACTTTACACCGCCAGTTCGCTCGAGCCTAAGTTGACCAAGGTGCCTTCCAAGCCTCGTGAACCTGCGACTGCACCTTCTTGAAATGGTCTGCCAACTTTTTGCTTCCGTCCCAGGCCCGAAGCCAAGTGGTCTCCCACTTTGGCTTCCGGCCCAGGCCCGAAGCCAAGTGCTCTTGCCGCATATACCAATAAGAACACTACTTAGGTTCAAGTGAACTGGTGGGCAAGCCTACCTTCTTCCCCCGAATACAACATATGGTCATTATAGCTGTATTTGAGGAATCTTTCAGTCCAGATAAAGCTATAATGACCGTACGTTGTATTCCGGGGAAGAAGGTAGTTTTTCAACACTGGCTGCTGAAGAGGCTAAGACTTCAAATTTCAAAACCTTTGACAAAAAAAGGTTAAACCACCAGAATGGGGACCCCTCCACCAAAACTCACGGGGCCTATTTGGAGGCCAAACTTCCTTCCAATGTATTGGCCTGGTGGCGACTGGTTCGATTCCTTCGGGATCGGCAAATTCTACGTCCGGCAAATTAGTGGGGTCACTCGGCTGGTGGTTTTTAAGCCACCAGAACCTACCATGTTTTTAGGCGTTAACAAATCGGCCTCCCGTGTAGGTCTGTATTCATTCGCGTCAGAGGGGGCTTAAGAACCCGGCAGGTACTGGTGGTTTAAGCCTTAAACTCTCCTATGCTTGAGACGTGAAGTTTATACTGTTGCCAGTCCCTAGTTACATGCAGAATGAAGCTAATTAGGAAAGTATTCCAGAATACCTGTCTCAGCGAGACAGAGAAACAAACAGTCAGAGAGCGCTAGCGCCGAACCGGTGAGCGCCTCCTCAATGCGTTAAGTCCGTCCATGAACTGTCGCGGCAACTCGCTTCCCGCGGGAAACTGCCACGCGCGCGGCTCCGCGCGCGTCTGCCATCCAAATTCGAATCCGCCAAGGTGGTAGGCTAGGGGGAGAACGAGCGACGTCACGTCACGCCACGCCTCCGGGTGCGGCCACCCCGGGTGAGGAAACGGGCCGTTGAGCACAAGGAAGAAAGAGGGAGAAGGAGGAGGAGGAGGAGAAGAGGAACAAGAGCTCCAGGGAAGGAGGGGGAGAAGGGGAGAAGAGGGAGAAAGGAAGTCCCCGGAAGAAGAAAAGACAAAGGAAGCAAGAAGGGCGACTAAAACTGGGTGGCGCACAAATCTTACCTACAATAGGAGAAGGGCAA